ATTTTAAGCCTAAGCTAAAAAATTTAATTTGGGAATGACTTTTTAGCCTTTTGACTTTTTTTGTGAGAGAATGGTGTAATAATTATGGGTTAGATGTGATGTTTTGTTTGTTATGATTAAAATAACTTAATTTGTCTTTTGTGGTTAAAATAGCCAAAAAAAACTTTTTGCCAAACGGAATAACATCAACCAATTCGTTTATGATTAAAATAACATCAACCAATTCGTTTGGCTTTGAGGCTTGTAAAAATAGTTTAAATTTTTTGTTTTTCTTATTTTGTTGTTTTTAGTTGGTAAAAATAGTTTAAATTTTTTGTTTTTCTTATTTCGTTGTTTTTAGTTGGTGTTTTTGGGGATTTGGTCAAAATTCCTTCAAAATAAAATTTTAATGCATTAAGGTCAAGTACAAAAAGTTTTTTTGAAAAATTCAATAAATATCACTATTATCAAAATATTAAATTTTAAAATAATATAACTTTTGATGTAGATATCGATTTTTAATAAAATTAATATTTTTAAAATTCTTCCATTAAGATCTATAAAATAAGATTCATGTTGACTATGAAATTCTTTTTTTTTTTTAAATATTACCGTTGAAATTGATATAAATAATAATAGTAACACGTTACTCTGTCTCACAGTAACATATTACTTTATCTGACAATTACTCTATTTGATAGTAATATGTTACTCTGTCTCAGAGTAACATTTGTCCTTACTCAATTATGTGTTTTCTTCTTAGGGGGTTTATGAAGAAAAATAAATTTGACTATCATTTTCACCAAACAAAGGTCTAATCCGCTCGAGCTTCCAACTCCCCGCTCGAGCGGCACTCACACAATCCCGCTCGAGCGGCCAATCCCACGCTCGAGCGTCCAACACTGCACAGGAAATACTGGATGGGTGCAATTCCCGCTCGAGCGGACAGGTCAAAGTTTGGGCAACTAGTTTTGGTTTCTAAACTCAACCAACCTGTAACAAACCCGCTCAACACATCCTATAACTCAAATACAAAGTAAGAAAGGATGTAAACAAGACAATAAACAACTACCAACATCCACGGACACATGTCCGGATCACTATACAACAAGGGTAAACTCGGGATCGCTATATGTAGAGTTGGAAATGGCAACCTCATAGTGCTTTGAGAACCCACCAAGCCTGAGCTCAATATGTGGATCAGGAAATCTCCAAGAGATTGGAGGGCTTAAGACCTATGTCACTGGTCCCCAAGATTTCAAGCTTGTAATCCTTCTCATTTCTGATGTTTTTGGTAACTGCCTATCTCAATTTCTTCATCAATCTCTGTTTTTTTTGTATTCAATTTGTCAAACCCAAATCCGAGAAAGCTAACAAAGCAAACCCAAAAATTTGAAAAAGAAATCAAACCCAAATTAGTCAAACTCAAAAAATCAAAAATCAAAACCAATCAGTCACAAACCAAATCAAACAAGATCAATCAAACCCAAAATAGATGGGGAACAGAAGGAGCTCGTCATGGACTCCAATGGTGATCCGGATTGTGGGTGTCGGAGAAGGAGGAGGCTTTTGGAGTGAAGAAAAGAGAGAGAGAGACAGAGAGAGAGCCAAATCAAATCCAAATAAAAAATCTGTCTTCTCCTTCTCTTCTTCTGTCTTTCTCTTCCTTCTATTTCTTTCAGTCTGTTCATCTCCTTCCGTCTGTTCAGAGACCAAAAAAAAAACTACCAAAACGACGCCGTTTTGGTAGTCGAGCCATTCGGGCCACTATTGCTTCTAGCTACGAAACATAATTGATTATATATATATGGGCCTATCAAAAAAATATACACTCAGGGAATATTCTGAGCGTATGTTTATATATATATATAAACATAATTGAATATTCTGAGAGGCACTGTCAAATATATATATATATATATATATGGGGAATATTCGGGGAATTTTTCGAGGATAATTCGGGGTGGGACCGGGAAACCTATCCCCTTCCCCAGCCCGAAAACTGTCGGAGATTTAATTTTCAATACCATTCCCGGTCCTATGGGGATAATTTTCAAGGAAAACTCATTCTAATCGGGGTTGGGGGATCGGGTCCCCGTCGGGCCGGGTTTTAATTGCCATTCCTATTTTGGAAGCTGCTGAAAACGTAATTTTTTTATTTCGCTTCCCAAATGACCACATTTTTTAATCTAAAACTAGAAAGAATCTTAACATATGCAAAAATTACTTAAAATTTTATTCAAATTAGAAGATCTAACAGTGAAATTTACCCTTTTAGTAGTTATATATGCAAAAAAAAAAAAAAAAAAAAAAAAAAAAAAAAAAAAAAGGGGGCCTTTTTTTTTAAAAAAAAAAAAAAAAAAAAAAAAAGTTATTTAATTACTTTTTTTTTTTTTTTTTGGGTGTGATTATATATAAATGAAAACCATTTTAAAAGTTCATTGAGAAATTTTGATGAAAATAAAAAAAAATAAGTCCTAAATTTTTTTACCAAATAAATGACTAACGCTGTGTTTGATTGGAGAATTTAGAAAGAGATTTGGAAAGGGAAATGAAAAAGATGTGTCAAATTAAGTATATTTTATTCACATTTCACCTATTTTTTTTAAATTTTTTTTTCCAAATCGCTTCTCAAATCTTCCAATCAAACACAACATAAAAGTCTTACATGAATGTGAATCTCATATGTATATAAAATATTAAATTATTTATTAAAATTTTTTTTTAAAAATTTTTTTGATTATTTTAGGTTAGGTTTGACATCTCTTAAAAAAGTTAAAAAGTCATTATCCTATTTAAGTCACATTATCTTATTTAAATCATATCACTTCTCTACCACATCACTTTAAACCCAATATATATTTCATAAAAAGTCAAAAGTGCATTATTTAGAATATCCCAAACAACCCCAGTCTGGGACTAAAAAATTTCATTTGAGAAGAATTTTTTTGACTTTTTTAACTTTTTGTAAAAGAAAGAATGTAATAATTATGGATTGAATGTGATATTTTATCTTATTGGACTAAAAAAATTATTTTATCTTTTTGTAACTAAAATATCTCCAAACCCAATCCAACTCAACCCTTCTTTCCAAACGAAATGAAAAGAAAGCTATTTTAGAAAAATATTTTTTAGTAATTTCTTTACAAAATTGTATAAAAATGTTTTTTGACTTGTCAAGTTTGTGTGGACAAATTTAAAAATAAAATTTTTTTAGTAAATTATATCAAAATTTTTTACTTGTCCATCTAGAAAGTAAATTTTTTTTTTGAAACATTCAAAAAAAAAAAAAAAAAAACCAACAAAAAAGCCAAAAAAAAAGTCTACTATTAATTAGTCAAAACAAAAAATACACTATTTTTTGCTTATTTTTATTCTTTCTCAGACTTTTTTTTAGAGGCTTTTTTTTTCATTAAAAAAAAAAAAATTTCCAATTCGTTACAAGCTTAAAGCTTTTTGAAAACTTAAGAAAATTCATTAAAAATGAAAATAAGATATAAAACGGTAAAAACACACACACACACACACACAAAAAGCAAATTCCATACACCATTATATTGAATTATCAAAAAACAAATAAAAATTAGTATTTGTTCAACTTAATATCATCACATTAGTAATTCTATCACTTTTCTTTTAAATTCTATCACTTAATCCTATAAGTTTTTTCATGCCATGAAAGGAAAAGTCTGTTGGGGATTTATACACCAAAATATTTAAAAATAAAACTCAATTCACAAATATATCATCATAAAAAATTTTGGGACATATTGCCAAAAATAAAACTTGAGCTGCAGAAGCAAACCAAATTTTCATATTCATTTATATATATTTCTCATAAATTTTAATCCATGTAACAAAAAAATAAAATAAAATCAAGCATCATGAACAACAAAATCCCCAAACTGCACATCTATATGTGCTACAGGCACCAAGCTTTCCGCATGATTGGCAATCCTAAAATTGATGTTTTTCGCACCATGAAAATCAATCCATGGAGGCAGCCCACCAATCCTAATTGTCCTCGTGCTCGCAGTCCTATTCTCATGGCAACAAGGAATGAGATTGTACTGGCGTGCAAACGTGCTCTGAGTTAGCAACATGTCACCGGTATAATCAGTACCAACAACTTTTACCCCTTGTGATTCTGCGAGACAGATACATTATATACTCTTCTTGATCCACAAGAGTTTGAGATAGGGAAAAAGCCTCCGACCCCCAGTGGGGGTACTGGGGTTGCGTGTGATTGGTGCAAAAAAAAAAATTATTATTTTTATTTTTATTTTTTTTGTTTTCAGCCAATAGGGAGGCGACACCTCATTGGGGGTTGTCAGTGGGGGTCGCCCCACTGGAGGTCGGTAGCACGGCTCTTTGAGATAGTCCTCTAATCCCCACAACCCTATTGACTTAAAATTGATGATAAATTACTTATATGATTGATTCATCCATTCACCCACTTATTTCAGCCCCCTACTGATTCACATAATGGATTCACATAGAGTCAGGGTGGGCTTTAGTAGTTGACTTAATGAACCAGCAAAATTCCAGTACATTCCAAGGTAAAAAATAAGATATATATATATATATATATATATATTTCAAAAAACAACAATGATTCATCCCCCTTTTCCCCCCACCCCCTTTAACCCCCTCTCTCTCTCATTGGTTACTTTTTCTTTTTCTTTTTCTTTTTTTTCCTGCTCCTCCAATCATCACCCGCCACGTGGCAAAGGGGATGAGGGGGTGACCCCCAAAAGGGGGTCCCAAGCATTATTCTTCAAAAAAATATATCGACAAATTATTGCATCTCACTACAAGTTATTAGACAATAATATAATTTTTTTCTAACTTCACTTTAAAATTACGTTAATAGTTAAAAGACTATCTTATGTAATTATATCAAAGTGTGTAAGGAAACAGATAACAAAGTTCTTGCACTCCTGATATGTTGATAACATTATAAGACCCAACCTGCCAATCACATTAACACATAAGTAGTCTGATCATTTCACACACAAAAATTGAAGCTAACCAAATGTCAAAATATAAGATAGGTATTCAATTCTATTATAACAAGATCACAATTGTGTCTACAACATTGGCACTACTATGAAAGACTAAAGCAACGAAGAACGCATTTACCTCTTTTTCCTATTCTTCTTTTGGTTCTTCTTCTTGTTCTCTTGTTCGTTCGGCTTCTTCCCTTGTTTCACCTTCTCCCTTGAGCGGAACAAGGCTTTCGACACACATATTTGTTACAAACAATTTTGGAAGACCATGAATGTTGATATTCTTAACTGTTTTATGTTCAAGATCAAACCAAATAAGATTATCGTTGTCTTGCACCAATAGGACCTCACCACCACTCTTCGAATAAGCTACAGGAGTCACAGAATCAAACAACCTAATCCCTTGTGGTTTTGCGATTGAAAACAATTTACTCCACGATTCTTTCACTCCATAATCCTTCATTACCCACACATCAAACCGGACTTGGTCATAATTGCAGAATATGCATAGACACCCATCCAACTCCCCTACACAAATATAAAAACCCTCATCAGAAAACTCCGGCTGTGGTACTAATCGATACTCCTCATTTGTAAGATCAAATGCAGCCACCAAAAAATTAACACTATCTGACTCGTAGTTTCGACTCACAACCCAATGTAAAGCACCACCGACAAACACGCCATGCTGAAAACTATGCCATAGATAATAAGGGAAATCTTGAATTCTTCGCCATGAATTCGACTTCAAACTGTAAACCCTAACTTCAGATTCAAATAAGTCCCAATTTTTACCCTGAAACTGAGTAGTCCTCATAAGTTTATAATCATCAGTAACAAAATCATACCCAAATCCGTAAATTATGTTCTGGTAACTAGTAAAAAAGAAGGGGGATTTATAGGGATTATTTACGGATAGTTTTCGGTGTTTTCGAGTGGATGGGTTCCAAATACAGACATCTTCTTCACCATTATACAAACAGATTAACCCATTACAAGAACCCAAAACCTCTATTCCAAAGTCGGTCCATTTCAATGGGGGTTTTAGTTTGGTGGCATTATCCAGTGAATCGAAGTTTACGGAAGAGAGAGAGCAATCGTTGAGTATGAGATTGAGATGGGATTTGGTATTGATTGATCGATTTAGATGCAATTTGATGAAATCAGGATCATCGATAAGAGAACACCAGAGTTTAGAAACGCACCTGAAACGTCGAAGAGGTTTCACCGGCAAACGTGAGAGAATGTCGACGATCAAGTCCATTGGAAAGTTCGACATCTCTCTCTTCTCACTCTCTCTCTCTCTCTCTCTTTCTTTCGGTTGGTCGGGTTTCAGATTCCAGAATGTGGAGGAGGATTCAGGCCGTTGGATGGCTTATTTCAACAATTTTTATTTTAATTGGCACAAATAAATAAATAAAAAAACAAAAAACAAAACAGAATTGCTATTAGGAATTTGGCTAAAAAAATCAAAAAAATCAATTTTTAACAAACTTCTCAAACAACTCAAAATCACAAAATATTAGGGTGCTTCTCTCTTTAAAAAGAAATAAATATTTAAGGATTGTTTATGATTATTTAAATAAGTGTATCTTTTATTTTTTACAAAAAAATATATAAAAAAAGTAGGAGAGATGATACCAAACAAACTCTTATTCATAAATCCCTCTTCACTTATGGGTGTTTGGCAAACTGGGTTAGAGACTTTTTTTGCTAAAATAGTTAATAAAGACAAAATAGATTTGTAGACACCTCATTTTTGACTACCCGTAAAGCTTAGGCGCTTGGTCCAGCGCACTCAATGATGAAAACTGCATTGTGTAATTCGAGTTCTCGGCAAAGGAATCCAATGTCGAGTCCCGAAATAATCCCAGAACCTGTCTACTTGCCTTATTCTTACCTTAGAGGTTCATTTTTGAACATTGTGCCACCTTACACTGAGTTTGAAACAGGGAAATATGGCAGCACATTAGGGCTCGACTGTCCCCCATTATGAGTCAGTCGGCCGGCTGTGGCTATTTGGGCCCGGCCTTGCCTTGCTAGCGATAAACACTGTTTTGGGCGAGAGCCCGCTAACTATCTGTTTTTTGAAGATATTTTTGACATTTTTTGCTCAAATTCTATAAAAACGAGGTTATACCTCTGTTTTGAGGATTGAACAATTTCTAAAGAGCCTATACACACAAGAGAGAGCTTATTCTTCCTATACAAGTTACCTTTGAGCAAACCTATCTCTCTTGACTAATATCCATACACCATATACTACCTTAGATCATAACCTTAGAGCCTTGGTTGAGGCTTGTGCATCATAATTCAAGCTTGAGAGTGTGCTTGAACCAAGTTTGTGTTACAAACAAGAGCTTGCTTTTTTTTTTGAGATTTTTTTTTTTTTTTTTTAGAGGTATAAGCTTACCACATTCTCTCTTACTTCTTTTTTTTCTTTTTCTTTTTTTTTTAATTTCTTGTTAGCTACTTCTTGTGTTTTTTGTGTTGTCTTGAGTCCTTTTTCAGTGTTTAAACTTGGGTTTGGATAGCTACCAAAGGGTAGAGAGGGTTAACACCTTCTCTTACACCTTATTTCATTGCTCAAGCCCTTATTTTTACACTATTTTCTTTAGTTCTCAAATTGATTTTTAGAGGTTAAAAAGGGCTGAAAAACATGGTCTAAGGTCTCAAAAAGTGGAGGGGTTGGCCTATAGCGATCCCGGTTTTGACCTGACTCTTGTGGTATCTTGGACTTGAGCTTAATGCTTTCATATTGTTGCTTACCTCTTGCATTCCTTGTGTCTCTTTGAAATTTGCATTTGGGTTATTGTGGTTGCGTTTGGGCAGGTTGGTCGCTTGTTTTTCAAATCTTGTGTTGCCCAGAATTTTGGTCCTCCACTTGAGCGGCACTTCTTGTGCTCGAGCGAGCTTTACAAACTCTCAGTATTTTTGCAGGTTTGCAAAACTATTGGAAGAGTGATTTTTATGCTCAAGCGGGTGGCGTTAGTCTGTTGTCTCCAAAACTACTGGATGTGTGCTTTCTACGCTCGAGCGTCACTTTTTGCGCTCGAGTGGTGAGCGTCTTTTTCATTGTGTCTTGGCGCTCGAGCATCACTTCTTGCGCTCGAGCGGAATAGCTCATCGTGTCTGACACTCGAGCGTCAACTCTTGCGCTCGAGCGGACTGTGCGTATATCAGATCGCGAAAATGACTTTTTATATCTTTTTTTCAGATCTTTTCTCCCTAAAACCTAAAGTTGAGACTCTCTCTCTCGCTCTCTACATTTTCACCTAGTTCTAGTGATCTTTTCACCCTAATCCCTTTGATAAAAAGGTAGATCATCTCAAGATCTCCATTTTGATCCGAATAGAGTTGGATTTCAACATCTTTAAAGTTTCACTCTTGTTTGGCTCGTTTTCTCTCTTTGAGGTAAGGATTTTCTATACCTTCATATGATTTTTAGCTTAGTTATTTGTCGTTGTGTAACAATGGTGGGATTTGAGAGTATTTGGAACATACCCAGGGTTTGGGTGTGAAATGAAAAGAGAAGTTTCTAATTGAGTGTGAAATAAATGACTATGGGATTTGAATATGAGATTACATTGTGTTAAAATAGTTAATTTTGACACTTGGGTTGATATATGGGAAAATGGAGTTTTGCCTAAATGGGTCAAATTGTTATTTTATACAAATAACTAAAATTGATAATGGTAATTATTGGATGGTTATTGATGTAAATGGTGGAATTGGGCACGTGTTGCCTCTCACCTATGGAAATTTGAATAATTTATCTATTGTGAAGATTGTATATCTGTTTAGAAATATCTGTATTGGGCTCTCGGTGGAGGATAGCTATGATTGTTGTAGAAAATGCATGAGGATTAGGCAAATCGAAACTAATCTAATGTTGGTTATCATTGAATATGACTATTTTTTTAAATACATTATACATGCATAATGTTTGGGAGGAGAAATGGGATGTATTTCATAGTTTGAGAGGAGATAGGGGATGGACTTCATTGAAATTAAGTTGGTCGGAGTATCTAGGGTGAAAGTCCCAAAATCGTGTATATACATGGATGCCGATCCCACGGACGAAATTTTTGTAAAATGGCAAATTTAAAGTGTTTGTGTAGTGTATTGAATTGGAAAAATCACTGTGTTGTAGTCTCAGTTGAGTTGTTGAAAGATAATGAAATTGACTCATGAATTAAGAAGAATAAATGAATTTGAAATGAAATGAAGAAAAATGAATTGAAATGTGAACTTTTGTGCTTTATGGTTATATAAAATGTAGATGTTTTGTTACCAGCATTGTATATGCACATTATACTTATATCTTTATTAAATTTCATATATTGTGTTAGATTGTTCTTACTGGGCTTTGGCTCACCCTATTTGGGAAAACCATTTTCAAGTATTGGTAACATGCTTTCGCTAAGGCAATAGCTTGTAGGGACTTTTGGGAGCAAAAGCTTATTTATTTTGTTATATTCTTTTGTACAGCCAAGGGCTTAAATTGTATTGAGCAAGGCTCACTTTTGTGTAACCAAACAATGACTTGGAAAGATATAAGCCTATAGGGCATATGACTATATGTTTAGTTTTAATTCTCTTAGCATTGCAACACATGCTGTACATTCAGGATGAACATTTATGAATGTATATCACATGTGTTAACTTTTATAAAAGAACTCTGATGAATGAACGCACATTATTTCTATTATTCCTCTGCTTTAAGGGTTGGTTTTACTGTAATAATTTGGGGGCGTTACATGGCCACCTCTCATTGTCTTTGTTTACTAGTTTGTGTCTCATTGTTTTTGTCTATCTTTTTGTGTACTTTTAACACACTTTTAGCCACAGTTTTTTTTTTTGTTTTTTTAAAAAAAAAATGTTTTGGGGGTGTTTAGGGCTGTCCTAATTTAGTAAATTAGTTTATGCTTTGAATATTTGCTTGTTGTATTGTAAGTCCTTATAGCTTCGGTTGTTTAAGCCTTAGACACCGAGTTATTTGAGTTGATAACTTTCTTCATTTCATAGGTCTCATTTTTAATAATCAATTTGGCATTCATTTCTGCAACCTCCCTATTTTCTTATTTTCGTCTTTTGTTTGAGAGTCATTTCAACAGGTTGATGGTTATTCAAAGCATGAGCTAGAGACCTATGCTCAATGGCTTAATTTCTACGGAGGTTCACCGTTTACGGCATGGTCCTTCTTTTATGTTTAGGAGTACCTCTAGCTTGATGTTCTTATAATTTAGTAGACTTAATCATCATTTTGGACGAAGAGATTAAGGAATGGCAAGGACTATTAAAATTGGCTGAAAATTGGACCAACCAACATAAAAAAAAATGAATAAGGTCGCTTGGGTTTGGTCGGATGTTATGCCAAGTCTACTATGTCAAGAGCCGTCACACATCAATTCATGGTGTTTTGACGTCCCTTGAAGTGTCTCTACTTCCTTTTTTGAGTTCATGATAAGAGGGAAGTGTGAGTGTTATTCATTGTATTCATTGATTTTTGTCCAAATCGTGGCCGAAATCATCAAGCAAGCAACTTGCTCATTGATGGTTTTGGAAGCAATTTTGTCCTTCTCTTGAGGTTTGCCATGATAGAGAAGTGTAAGAGGGACAAACAGAGCTCTTGTCTTCACCTTAGAGCACAAAAACAGGGTTTTGCACAAAATTAGGGCACGACCGGCCTCATTGAGGGCCAGCTGGCCATCAACGTTTGGTACACAGTGTTTTTTTTTTTTTTTTTGCAGAAACAGAGGGCAGTGACTGAAGGTGAAACAGGGCAGATTCCAAGGAAGGCAAGCAGAGCTGCTTCTAAAACTGTCACGTGCATGTCATCCTTGTGCTTCCTTTGTAAATTGTACATTAATGCTCTCATTATTGTTATAGTCACATAGCTAGTTAACTTAGATTACTAGCATGTTGCTCATCCTAGAGATCCTTGTTGTAATAACTTAGTTAGTTATGTAATTCATTCAGTCGAATTTGTAGTAATTAGTTTATTTCGGACATTCAGACATCGATTCGGACTCTCTTGCACGAGGGCAAATATGTAATAAGTGTGTGTGTCTTTCAACCCCCATTTCTTTCTCCATTTTATTTCTCCGTTTATGATAGTAATATAGAACATCATGTTTTCTTAACATTTTCCATGCTTTGCATATGCATGTCTTGTACGCATCAAAGCTCGGTTCATCGTTCTACTAAAGCATTGTTCTTACCTAACTCTTTGAATACGTGCTTGGACCAAATGCTATCAAATTACTTCAAATGTCATGTTAGTAGTTAAGCCCCTTAGTCATAATTGTTTGT